AGGGCAGAGCTTGACCTTGAAAGGAGGATCCGTGTTCTGTCTCTGTACAAGTCACCCTTTTGTTCCAGGGCACAATTGCAGCACCAGCCCAGAAACACAGGGGAACAGGCCCCAGCTCTTATACTTGTACCTCTAAAAACCTCCTGCCCTGACCTAAGGCCCCAGGCTAGGCCGATCTTGTCAGATCTGGGAAGCTAAGCAGGGTCAGCCCTGATTAATACTTGGATGGGGGGTCATCAAGGAAGTCCAGGGTTGCTACGCAGAGGCAGGCAATGGCAAACCACCTCTGAATGTCTCTTGCCTCAAAACCCTGCAGGATTGCTGTCTGGCGGCTGTGACGTGAGAGCACCTTCCGCCGCCACCAAATGCATGCCACTTTAGGCTGCCATTCATTTTCATTTACAAAATAAGCGTGGATCTGCTGAGGAAAGTTTGAGGAGACAGACACTAGTTTAGAGAAAAGGGAAAGAATTTTCGTTCCCGTCTACTTTTCAGCAGTGACACGACGGTTTGCGAACTCAGGCAAGCGGCCAAGAAACGCCTCGCATCCTTCCCCTCCGCACAGAAAAGCAAATCTTCCAGAGATCAAAACACAGCACTAAATTGTCAGCCTCTCCCCCCAAAATTGGTTTAAGAAATACACAAAAGTGCCTAGCAGAGCGCAGAATGTCTAACCACAGGAACAATCCCGCATTGGACAAAAAAACCCCAATAAGCAGACAATTCCCCACCCCCAGTACTCTGAGAAGGAGGAAAGCCAGACAACCAAAACAAACAAGCAAACAAATACAATTTGCCATGCAACCCTCAGCTCTGTTGGAACACGCCAATGTGCTAAGTGAGGGGAAGCATCAAAATGCTGGCCTTTTGTTAGTGGCGCAATGCCTCCTCTTAGAGGAGGAGACAGAAGACTTCAGATTCCATATGAACTTCAGGAGCCATCTTATACCAAGTCCCCGTCCCCCTCCAGCACAGTCTACCCTGACTGACAGTAGCTCTTTAAAGTCCTCCCTAACTGGAGATGCTTGGACAGAACTTGAGAACTTGCACTTGCAAAGTATGTGCTCTCCCAGTCAGCAGTGGGTGACCAAGATTAAGACGGAACAGTGCCTGGGTACAAAAAATGCACAGACAACTATGTTGGGAGATCATGGGGCACTGAGGCAGGCCTACAGAGGACTACCCTTGTGCAGAAGTCAGCAGGTTCTGCAGGAATGAGTTCCAGTTTCAAGGAACCTCTGCAGGACCTTGGAGAGCTCCTCAGAGAGTAGACGTTCCTCTGGAGGGCCAAACTACACGTTACCCTTTTCTAAAGAGTTGGATCTGGGTTCCTTGAGCCTGGTTCACTTTCCAAATGCCATTTTTAAAGCCTGCAAGGGCTCCCAATTCAGCTCAGGAGGAAGGCATGAGACCCCCTCCTCCAACACCACAGTCCCGAGCCAAATCTGGCCCTCAAAGGCTGTAAAAATGGTGTTCCCGGCAGCTGCTGTGCAGGGTTTCTGTACCCAACTTGTTAAAAACACAAGATGTAGAGTTTGGCCTAGAGTAAGTTGGCTTGAAACTCAACATCCAAAAAACTAAGATCATGGCATCCAGCCCCATCACTCCTTGGCAAATAGAAGGGGAAGTCATGGAAGCAGTGACAGACGTCACGTTCCTGGGATTCAAGATCACTGCAGACGGTGACTGCAGCCATGAAATTAAAAGACGCCTGCTCTTTGGGAGGAAAGCGATGGCCAACCTAGACAGCATAATAAAAAGTAAAGATATCACCCTGCCAACAAAAGTCTGTATGGTCAAAACAATAGTATTCCCAATAGTAACATATGGCTGCAAGAGTTGGACCATAAGGAAGGCCAAGCACTGAAGAATAGATTCTTTTGAACTATGGTGCTAGAGAAGACTCTTGAGAGTTCCTTGGACTGCAAGAAGATCAAATCAGTCAATCTTAGGATCAACCCTGACAGTTCCCTGGAAGGCCAGATCCTGAAGCTGAAGCTCAAATACTTTGGCCACCAAATGAGAAGGGAGCACTCGCTGGAGAAGACCCTGATGCTGGGAAAGACTGAAGGTCAAAGAAGACGGGGATGGCAAAGGATGAGATGGCTAGACAGCATTATCGATGCAACAAACATGAAATTAAGCAAATTCCAGAGGACTGCGGAGGACGGGAGGGCCTGGCATGATGTGGTCCAGTGTTCTTGAAGAGTCAGACTCAACTGTGCGACTGAACAACAAAGTGTTAACTTCAATACTGCTTATTTTGGCTTCGCCATTACCTGGATGGCTCAGGCTCACCTGATGCTGTTACATCTCTGAGCCTGCTTTGCGGGGAGGTCGGGGTATAAATCTGATAATAAATGAAAAAGATAATAAATCTCAGAAACTAAGCAGGGTCAGCCCTGGTTAGCATTTGTATGGGAGACCATCGAGGAATACCAGGGCTGCTATGCAGGCGCAGGCAATGGCAAGTCACCTCTCACGGTCCCTTGCCTTGAAAACCGTATGGGGTCGCCATAAGTTGGCTGAGGCTTGACGGCACTTTCCACCACCACACTGGCTCCAAATCCTGGTTTCCCAGAAACCTCAATAAATATCAAACCACAGCACCAATGTTTCCCGCAACTGTGGTTAAGGCAAGAAGGGGGAAATTCAGTCCTAAGGGGAGAGAGTGAGCCATCCTTTCTTCCTTCCGCCCATGGTTCTTGGTTTCAGAACTGCAGTTAAAAGGGAATCAGCAATAAAGCTGCATAAGATGAAAGGGTTCAGATTTGGAGGGTAAAGGGGACGGTGCTTCCCTCAGCCGAGTAATTTCCTCACTCATTCCCACACACTCCACACTGCCAAAAACAGAAAAGAAATAGAACTGAGCCTAAAGAAAAGGGAGATAAAGAGAAGAATGAAAGAATTAGTACTTCAGGCGCAGAGAAAGAACCAAGGGTTATCGCATGCTGGCTACTGTTTACGACTCTCGGAGAACCGGAGACATTTTAACGCTGTCTTCCATGCAGTGATCGTGAATTTTTATTTTATTGTCCTCCTGGAAAGTATTTTAAAAGAAGGCAATTATCCTGAGGAGTGTGGAGAAGTCAAATGCACCACAGAGAGAACGAAAATGGCCCTTCGGATCAAACTGAGGAAACAACTTTACAGAAGTCAAAGGGAAAACTTAAATCTATGATGCGACACCATCCACCTGGGAAACTGTAGATGAGAGAGCCGGCAACCGGCTGCTTCCACACTAACCAACAACCACGCTTTGTTTTCAAAAAGACATTTAGATGCGGAGCCATCTTGGACTATTGGGCCAAAGTCTAGCATATTTTAACAGTATTTTTTCAAGGATAAAAACAACGATATTATTTCCCCAATTTTGAAAGACATTTGCTGGCTCTTAGTCTACTTCAGAGTATAATTCAAAGGTCTGGCGTTGGCCCAGAAGCCCGTAATCTGTCCCCTTCTGTCCCTGCGACCAGGTGAAGACGTCTTTGTTTGGTCTGGCATTCCCTCAGTGATTCCCTCCTTCCTGTCTGAGGCTTTAATTTGCTCTATTTAGTTACATATATATATATTTTAACCTCTGCTTTTAATGGGTTTTGTGGGTTTTTTCCTATTATACTATTCTCAGTGTCAGTCCCCTTGCGGGGCACAGATTTGGCAGAAAGCCATCTTATACATAAATATCGTAAATAATAAATGGTTTCGGACAAGCATATCCTGAAGGGCTTACTCCCTTATGAACCTGCCCACCCATTTAGATCTCTATCAAAAGTCCTTCGAAGAGGAGCTTCCGGTTTCGGCAATCGCCATGGCAGTCGCTTTTTCCCAGATCTCTGGGAGAAACCTGACAGTGCCACCCTAGGAGCCCAAGGGTTGGGCTCCAAGCTATGGGGCGCTAGAGAGACCCCTCCAGCAAGACAAGCCGGTGAGGGGGGGGCTACTCCAAGCCCCGATGGTCCCGCTGTGGAGCGTCCCGTATGGGAACAAGATCAGCACACTGGAGCAAGCATTTGGTGATCAAGCGATTTTAGACACAAGCGGACAATCGTTGAAAATGTGAGTTTAAGTATAAGCGAGAACAACGAAAAACCGCACAGCCCTCCCGAAAGAAAAAGTCCTTTGAAGAGGAGGAAGAAGAGTTGGATTTATACCCCACCCTTCACTCTGAGTCTCAGAGCAGCTTACAATCTCCTCCCCTTCCTCCCACCACAACAGACGCCCTGTGAGGTAGGTGGGGCTGAGAGAGCTCTGAGAGAACTGTGACTGGCCCAAGGTCACCCAGCTGGCTGCATGTGGAGTGCGGAACCAAACCCAGATTAGAATCCGCCGCTCTTAACCACTACTCCAAACAGGGTGCCTACCAGATACAGCGCCTTCTTTGTCGTGGTGCCCCAGTTCCAGAATCCCACCTCCTAACTCAGACCTGCATGATGCTAACACGAAAATCTTATAGGCACCCAATGGCATCTGTTGGCTTTTAATCACATACTTCTGTTTCCTGAAATAAACTCATGTTTTTAACTTTTCTGTACTTATACTGGATTCCTTTTTTGCTGGCTCTGATGGTCTACGGCTTTTGAGCACTTCAAAAGTAGAAAAACTATTCAAGAATAAAATGAATGATAGCTGCTTCAGCAGAACAACATTTGAGGCCAAAGAGGTAGTGGGGTCCCTTCCCTGAACACCCCTTGTCCTAGACTCCTGTAGAACTGAAGCTGGCTTGCAGGAGCTATTCAGGACAGAGAATTGTGTGAAGGCTTACACACACAAACACACACATATGTGGACGCACACAGAACCACACTCTTGGTCCAACAAGCACCCCAACAAAGCTTCTTCTAGATTTAACGTACACGAGACTTCAGTAATGGATTTCCTGCGTCACAGTTGGTTTGACCCTTACCTGGCAAAACCCAGTGTATCTCAACAGTTCTAGTTCAACCACATGGAAGACGGGAGCATTTGCAAACGCCAGAGATTCAGTTCCACCGTCAACCCACCTCTCGCTGCTCGCTGCAGATCTTGCACAACCAGAGGGGCCGTTTCGAGGTGCCCACGGTTTCAATACCGCACTTGGTGCAGACTTTCTGGAAAACAAGGAGAGACGAGAAAAATCAGCATCGTTCGAAACGCAAAAGGTACTGAAGAGGGAAGAGCTGCTGAGTGCGGCTGGCTCGCACAGTTGCTGTGCAATAAAACAAATCTAGAGTCCAGTGGGGCACCTTTAACTTGTGGAACTCCCCGACAGAGGACATAGGTTTATAAGGTGCCCCTAGGCCACTAGAAGGGCCATGGTGGCTCAGAGGTTAAGATGCTCAGCTACAGACCGGAAAGTCGGTTGTTCAGCAGTTCGAGACCCGAGTGCCGCGTGACAGAGTGAGCTCCCATCTCTGGCCCCAGCTCCTGCCAACCTAGCAGTTTGAAAGCAAGAAATTGCAATGGGAAGGTAAGAGAGTTCTGTGCGCCTTGGCATCTAGACATGCCGGCCACATGACCACGGAGAAGTCTTCGGACAGCGCTGGCTCTTTGGTTTGGAAACGGAGAGGAGCACTGCCCCCTAGAGTTGGATTCGACGAGCTTTCGGGCAAGGGAAACCTTTACCTTTACTTTAGGCCACTAGAGGCCCATAGGCAAATTCATGGAGGAAGGGGTCTGACCCACGGCTATGAGCTATAAAGTCTAAATGGAACCTCCAGGTTGAGAGGCAGCATACTTCTGAACGTCAGTTGCTGTGAGGTAACAATGGCCCGTGTGAGAAGAAGAAGAAAAGAAGAAAAGAGATTGGATTTATACCCCGCCCTTCACTACCCAAAGGAGTCTCAGAGCAGCTCACAAACTCCTTCCCCTTCCCTTCCCCACAACAGACACCCTGTGAGGTAGGTGGGGCTGAGAGCTCTTACAGAAACTGCTCTTTTTCAAGGACAGCTCTGACAGAACTACGGCTTGCCCAAGGTCATCCAGCCAGGTCCAAGTGGAGGAGTGGGGAATCGAACCTGGTTCTCCCAGATTAGAGTCCGCGCACTTAACCACTACACCAAACTGTCTCTGTGCTTCCCCTTGTGGGGTGCCTGGGGCATCTTATTAGTCCTTGTGGGAAACAAGATGCTGGAGCAGATGGACGTCTGGTCTTGTCCAGCAGGGCTCTTTTGCTGTCCTTGCTTTGACTGTCCAATCCCAACAGAAACACTCAAAGGCTGGTCTATGGAGCAGCCCCTTCTGCCTGCTGTTCTTCAGGCCGCAGCTTTGCTCCAGCAAGGCTCCAGCTACTGCCCTTGGGGGCCCTGGCTTCTAGAACACACATGCACCTGGTTCAGTCCAGTCACGACACTGGCATGGCTCCAACAATACCCTCCTCCTTGATGCTCTAGCTTTCTGTAGGCATGGAAGTGTTGTGTGTATGAATCAAAGGTCATTTCGGGGGGGATTGCGGGGGATCGCAGTTCCCTCGGGTGAGGTGCGGGGGGGCATAGCCATAAAAAATGGCCACCGTACAATGGCTACCAGCGCGTAGAAAATGGTCTATGACCACCGTGATATAGTTACAAAGGAAACGTCACTCTTTTTTTTTAATTAAAAAAATAGATAAATATCAATACATTTCTGTACATTCACACCAGAATAAACATCCAAAAACGATTCCACAATGTTGACAAGCACAGTCCAATAATCCAAAGTTCTCCTCTAGTGCAGGAGTCTGCCTGGGCCTCTTCACTTCAAGTGTCATCAAAAGCAAATAAAGTGAAACGACTAATAAATCTTCTTTGTGTCTTTTTTTTACGAGTATTGGATTGCAGACAGATAGCATAAAAGGTCACGAATCTGCAGACAGGCTTGCTCAAACACCTGTTTCAATAGGCTTCCTCAGAGCAGAATACATGTAGACTCAGTGAATCCTTTCCTGCACAGCATTCATCTCTGCATGGCCGTCTCCCTGCCCAATGCTCACATTCAGTGAAATCTTTTCTTGTTCAGCTTCCTCTCTGTATGCTTGGATAGTTCTCAGTGGCTACCGGCTGTAGGAGGCAGAGCCGATAACAAAATGGCTGCCACAGCTTACCTTCAACCACACTAAAGATCCTTGTGCAGTGGTGGCAGCTGCTGCCAATCAAATCTCCAATGGCCAATCAGAAGCCTTGCTGGGCAAAAGCCCTACCTGGCCATACCCACTCTCTAAAAACACTTTGTGGACACCAGGAAAGTTACTGGTGGGCATCATGGCACCCACTGGGGGTCCCTGGAATACACAGCCCCAAGGTTTACATCCTGAAGAGGTGCAGCCCAAGAAGACTCTTTTCCTAACAGATGATTTACCACCTTTCCTCAGTCCACCACCCTTTCACCAGTTTGGTGCATGGCCGTCTCCCTGCCCAATGCTCACATTCAGTGAAATCTTTTCTTGTTCAGCTTCCTCTCTGTATGCTTGGATAGTTCTCAATGGCTACCGGCTGTAGGAGGCAGAGCCGATAACAAAATGGCTGCCACAGCTTACCTTCAACCACACTGAAGATCCTTGTGCAGTGGTGGCAGCTGCTGCCAATAAAATCTCCAATGGCCAATCAGAAGCCTTGCTGGGCAAAAGCCCTACCTGGCCCTAAAAAGGTAAAGGTAAAGGTTCCCTTGCTCGAAAGCCAGTCAAATCCGACTCTAGGGTTGCGGTGCTCATCTCCGTTTCAAAGCCGAAGAGCCAGTGCTGTCCAAAGACGTTTCTGTGGTCATGTGGCCGGCATGACTAAACACCAAGGTGCAC